CTGTATAAAATGCAGGATGACTCCCCATCTTTTTATCCTAGTCATCCATACAAATCGCTACAAAATGCTTAAGGATTGAGATCATATTGCACAAAAAGTTGACCCATGTCCTTGTTAGGACTAGGGTAACTTAATTACGGGACGCCAAGCAATGTTTATATATTTCGTTCTGAAACCCATGTAGTCGTTGATGTTGATTTTTAGTTATATTTCACGGAACCTTTCATTTTTGCAGGAGGCACAGAAACTACAGGAATATGGAATTATATTTAACAAGGTTTCCAAGGTAAATTCACCTTAATATTAAACTTTGAATTTTGACACGTCTACAACGCTGTTGCCTTGATTGTGAGAGTAACTTGTGTACCAGAGCACTTCTACAACACGCCGAGAGTGACCAAAGCGATAGGTAGTGGCAATATCAGCTGTCACTTTATCAACGACTGTCTCTTACCTTTTGCAATTGTGCCAGCTTTCGCATTTTCTATGAACTCATCCGCAACCTATTATATTATTGCTGCAGTATAAAAAGGACAAGAGAGGCAGTTTCAGTTTAGGGATCAGTGTGAGAGGACTCATTGTTTATGAGGTAAGTGTGTTACTAAGTACCGATTCTGAATTGTTCAGCCCAATGATATTACTCGTACAATAAATCGGAGCATCAGACGTGAGTATTTACGGTTGCAATATTCTAAGGGCACGAATGATCATCATAGTTATGTACATGCCGGTGGAAAATTTAGGCTTGAACGGCATTCGAACCCAAATTACTATATCCTTGAACCGTTAACTGTCTTAACTGACTTGACCATATCACCAACTCCTCTCTAAAGATATTGTCGTTGCTTTGTTGGCACTGTAACTTTTCATCATCATCAGTTCTCGAGGCGCCAGTAGGCGCACAAGGCCGTACTGTAACTTTTGCTGTATTCAAATTCACTCTATATCGGTCTACTCTTTGCAGTGCTAAATAAATGTGTTTAACTCGTCGTTTCTTTTAGGAGAGAGGAATCGTCAAAAGTCCAACGTTTCGTCATCCTTGGCAAAACATTAAAAGAATGGCATTTCATGTACGTATAGCTACTCAGTTTATACTTAAAAAAGAATTACATGCTGATAAGTTCAAGAGCTGAAAAGAATTATGAACATCGCTGAGCTCTCAAACTTTTAATGCATTTGTTTAAAATTATGAGATGTTGACGACCTTATTTATCTAGTGGTATCAATTCCCAGTGTTGAACCACGCCAACACCAATCACCAATGCAGAACTGAATGATGCGTAGTTCAAATAGAGAAAATCATGAATAATTCATCCCATTGCGTTATTACACAGAGCAATCGACAATTTACGCTAATCCTAATTACTACTTTGATTCGTCTTTTACTTTTAGCGGAGACGGTTTTTTATCGAAGCACACGGTGACCCGGAGACATCCAAGATGGTGCTGTACACCTGCAGCTATAAGAAGTAAGTTCGATTAATCCTCTTAGCTCTATTTCTTGAAGAGCGCCATACATTACCATAACGTTGAAACCAAAACAAGAAGCCGTAGGCTTTTTGTTATGACCACGGCATATGATAATAAATAATATTAATGCGATATTTTTAGACATTTGCTATTAACTACGTCATGTTTAATTCAACAGCTTTGTCAAAGGAATAGGTCACTTTCGACATATTAAAACTCAGCTTGATAGTGAGGCCTAGAGAACGCAAACGAAAGAAATGATGAAACATGTCATTCATTTTACTTTGTTTGCGTCGAAAAAGGTCTATTGTGTGATAACGAGTTGTGTGATGAAAGGGAATCCACAGTCACGAGGATCAATATACGATTATTAGTATTTTAGAATTTGTTTCCCTCCACGCCTGTTTTTTTCATTATGGCGTCAAATGTTTGTGGCGCAAGATCGCGGTAATATTAAACAAACGTATGGGAAAAAGAATGATTGATAATTCTCACCGAGAGCTCTTCCTAAAATAAGCGCGTTAAATTATAATAAATTACCAACAAATAAATTACCTGGTACACTCAGGAAAGAGAGAATTAAATCAACTGAAAAGGTGGCTTAGGGAAACTTTATTAGCACTTCTAAACTATGTCCTTCTTCTATTAATAGAAGAAAACATGTGAGAATTTACGAGCTTCTTTCCTTTGTCACTGATCTTATTTTCATTTCATGCAAAATTTCAAAAATGTTATGAAAAGGAAAAAAAGATAAAAGGAAAACAGAAGCAAATAGTCAAGACCGACATAGACTACCCTTAGCGACGAATGTCATCTTGTCATTTCGGGATCTTGTATTGAGTGGGTCAGTGCTCCTCAGACACAGCATGATTCTAGCGGGAAGGGAGATTCTTTTTCTTCTGATATGCTTCATACTTTGGTAAGATTAATAACGTAAGGAAGTTATATTTACCGTGTGATTATGAGCTGGCAAACATGTTTATCAAGGTGGGGGAGGATTTCTACGTAGCTACAAAGACTCCCTCATTCCCTCATTTGAATAATCAGCATTATATTACTGCGCTCACTTACGATCTTTTATCAGTATCTCACTTATTATTGACATCTTTTTCCGTTGATAGGTCGAGGTATCTACTGAAAATGTGTACGTCGTTCTACAAGTTCCAAATGATGATGGGAATGAAATTGTCCAGCCTCAAGGAATATCCAAAAGATGGAGGTAAAATGAAATTTATTTTGACTATTATGTATTTCAAGAACTCTGTTTTTAATGTCATTGAAGTTTCCTTTACGAAAGTAGTTACGGTCTGCTGTCGACAACAATTGCATTAAGAAAACTGTAGCGTTTTTCATATTATGTCGACTCGATCGCCCCTATAACATTTGAGATACTGACTGTAAAGCAAGAAATTCAGTGTTCGGTAAAAAAATATTGTAATATGTGTTAATTGGACTCTTAACATAACCATCCTAGCAATAACGTTCGTTGAAAGAGATTAAAAACTGTGCTGTCGCAAGTAAAATTTTAAAGTGAAAACTGCCGGATCAGGAAGACTCAAAATGCGGCTTCATGGCAAAGCTTTGCATACAACGCGTGTCGGGCGTCGACGTCAACTTTATGTCGTCCGCTTAAAAGGTGAAGCTAGAATTTAAACAGATTGAAAAAATATAAAATCAGTACAGCTATACATGTACACAAGGTATTGCATTGAAACTTTCTTAATCTCAGTAATGTTTTCTTGATACAAGCTAGTAAACATGATAGATATGTCAACTCTGTAACACGTTGTACAAACTATACTTCATCTTAGCTCAACTGGAAATAAACAAAGCGTATGTCATTAATTCGTGATTATGACGGAGTTTGGATGCTGGGAACCATAGCTACGTTTTCCGTTTAATCGCTTAAACCAATTGTAACTGTAGAATTTCGGGAATAAAATTAATATTTGCGGATAAACGGGCCAACATTTGGCTTTATAAAAAATTNTAAAGTTTTCTTCGCCTCACTCACTCACTCATTCTCTTCACTTCTGTGAGTGGAGCATAAGGCTACAGTATCTTAATGATGACGTCATATCCCACAGGGTGGCATAGAGTTGGGTGGTATTTACGTCAAGACATTGGCTCCCGAAGGACCAGCATCCCTCAGTGGCAAAATCAACATTGGTAAGTTTAATTGGACACGAGTCTCGTTTTCATTCTACATTCCATTAACTCGAATTTCTGACCCTTCTATCCAATTTCCATTCTAGGTGACAGAATCCTCGAAATTAACGGTCACAGTCTCGAAGGTTTATCAAGACAAGAGGTAATTTGTGTAAAATAGTATGCAACCGTGGTTGAATGAAAAACATAAGATATCAAACTATTATATAAGCACACTAGTTCTGTTTCAACAACTCGACGAACACGTGAGACATATTTTTTTTCCAAAATACGATGACGTTTGATCTACTTCACAGGTTATCATAAGCTTCGTGCCCCTTTTTTCTTGCAGGCTGTTAATATTTTAAGGACAGCGCCTCATGTTTGCACAATGCTGATCGAGAGCTGTGTGGCCGCTCCTGCAACTCCAAATGGGAAGCCAGCAATGCCTGGGACCGAGTCCGCATCAGCCTTTTACCATCCAAACAGACAGCAGCAGATGCAGCCCATGATGCAACGCCAGGCGTCACTGGAATCGCAGTACTCGTCAATGCAGCAACAGTTTGTACCAAGCCAGAGTCACCAGATTGAAGACATAGTTGCAGTGAGTACTCCTAACCTAACGAAAACAAAACCAGTCACTACGCTTCCTTTTGGAAAGCAGAAAAGTATTGAGGCAATAGCCTGGGCACAGCCATTTGAAAAGGGAGCTGTGTCTGCTATGATAAGAGAGAGGGCTAAGACCAAAGTAACGGTAGTAAATGAAAATGGCTCTCTTGAAGGGTTGTCTGAGAAAAGTAAAGAGGCTGTTTCATTACCTAGGGATGGAGAATTATTGAAAGATGCAAAAGCTTCAGAGAATTCTAAACAGCACTCTGATGCTTCGCGGGAAGAAAGCCAGCCTATACTTCAGGGGGAATGTTCCTTAGCAGACGAAAGCTCAAAGCTGCTTATCTCCACAGAGCAGCAGGCTCCCCAAAATGAGGAATCCAATGTAGTCGGATTTTTCAAAAGGATTCAGTCGTTTCTATTTTCGCCCACTCCCTCAAAGTCAAAACGCACTGAGGAGTCGGAATCATCTTGCTGTGAAAGTGATTTTGATTCCGAGTTCAGTGAAATGACCCAGGGATCTTTCAATCCGGGAGATATTGAAGCCATACGGGATGAATTGGAGACCTTGTTAAGTAGTTCTTCAACCCAGGACCATGGAACTGGTGACGAGATATTCTACGGGGAGGCCTCAAGCTCCCAGCAGGGAGTTTCTATTACCTCAGAAAAAGACGTCAGGGCTACTGATTCTGATGATAAGTGCATGCTAGAAATGAAAGAAAGTAAAGTAGACCAGAAAGACGAGAAACACGCCAAAGAATTAAAAGACGATAGTTACTTAAAGGGGAAGGAAGCTCACGGTGTTGGTGCAGGCACATGTGAAATCATGTCAGATAATAAACACTTAGTGAACGCTGAAATCAAACAAATTGAAAATGAAGATCTAAATCCAAAAGTTGAAGATGCTTCGGGAGGAATGGAAGAAATACAAAGCGCTAAGGTTACTAAAATACATTACAAGACAGGGGAAGAAGATACTTCTTCTAAGGACGCGGAGAATGGGAAAAGGGAAAACAACCAAGACCCCGATAACAGGGAGTCACTCGTTTATAGCACAGAAGGGGTTTTCAAGTTTCAGAGGGAAACCACAGTATAAAGGGGTTTAGGAGAAGCTTGTGGAGAAAATTTGAAGCGGAAATCTCCTTGATTTCTCACTTAATTAATTAAGAAAGGAAAGCAACAAATTGAACTGCGTTTCAATGTCATCCTGAAACTCATTTTGAAATAAAGAAGACTGCCATGAACAATGGCTTTTAACTTGACAGTGGTTCCAAAGTGGCTTTGAAACGTCGATCAGTTCTTTCGCTTATTTATATGTAAAAATTCTCAGCAAAATGAAGAATTAAGATTTGTAACGTCAGCTGCCATTAGTCAATATTTGATCATATATCACATAAATTAACGTCGCAGTATCCAAAATGCTATTATTAATAAATTTTTAATTAAAAAATAAAAATAAGAAGTGCTTCAGACGAACACCTATAAGCTACAATTTAAATTACAAATTAATATAGTTTAACATAACAGTGGCAAAGAGAAACAGAAATACGCCTAAAAGCTTTCGTGTGTAAACGACGAGGCATCAGCACTGTGGGTTGGATGTACTGCGGAAGTGTAACGTTCTTACATATTTAATAATAAATATATTTAGGGTTATTTGCCGCCCTAGCATAAGTAAACCTCGTAAGTGTTGTAATACTAACGATAATGAAGCAATGGTAGGGGCGTCATGTATGAAAATGACGTCTTTTGTAAAGATAATATAGGATTTGTGTCAAGTCGACAAGAACACACTTACTTTGTCGGCTTTGTCTCGTTGATAACCCTAATTCTTTAACTTACATCTAGACATTACCTGAGTTACGAAATGTGTAATCATTGATGAGTGCCATGCTTAACTGCTGTGCAAAGGCTTTTATTGCTGTACCACCAGCTGGCTACGTACAGTTGTGGATCCAGATCGCACGAATATTATCAAGATAGTCAATGGTAGCTCAGTTTCTCAATTTGCCAATTTGGGTATTGCGCTGGAAAGTAAAATTGAAGTTTTCGGCACTTTAATACGGCTAAAAGAAACGTAAATAAAGTATAAGCTGAATGATGCTAAAGAATATCTACAAACCTCAAGAAAGTTCGCGGTAAGAGCTGTGTTATTTTGCATAACCCAATTAAAACGTAGAACAAATAAGGCTACAGACTTAATGTGAGGAACTGATAATCAGTAAGAGATGGATGTTTTCAGCTGTATAAAAAGCCTTAGCATTTCTTGTTTTTCCAGACTTCCGCTTTTGTTCCTAATGATTTCTCAGTTGCAGAAATTGGGCTATCACGTGATTGACAAATGTTGCTTCTGTATCAACAAAAATAAACTGGGTGTACCATTAATTTCTGTCTCTCATATAGTGGTGTTTAAATTTACCCTGTTTATTTAGGGCCAGATGGCACGAAGAACTTTGTTAGAGTTGGAATCAAATCCACTTTGAATCCAAGTTTGAGAGGCGAATTTGTTTTAATCTCAGTCAGAGGTGTCGTCGACTTCCCCACGCCTACACTGATTTACCACAAAGCTGATTATCTTTTGATCGCGGTATTATTAGTCGCAGTCCAAATTTTCGTTTGGATCTGAGTTTCAGTCAGGGGTAACTTTCTTGAATATTTCCTTGAGAAAATAATGAGGATGGGCTTGAATTAGAGCACCTATTGTCGTCTGCTGAAGGATAGAAACTCACCAAACACTCTTGTGTTGAATGTCAGCTTTTATTCGTTTAAAATTCCAGATATATGGTGAATTTGAATTCAAAAGCAATTGCAAAATGAATAAACAAATGTATAGTAAAGCCTCTGTTGAGCAACTACACTTCCATGTCCTAATTTAGAGGACGGCCGTTCACCAAAGATCAAAACAGAACGGAATTAACCGTATATATTTTTTGGACATAAAAAAGTTGGCCTCTGAAGATACCATGGAAAAAACTGTTTAATAGAGGCTTCCTTCCGTGGACGGCTCCAAAATTGCTGTCAGATTTCGTTTCAAAGGTTGCATTACATGGATACATCTCGAAGTCCACGACCAGTTTACTTCGGTCAGTGGCACATGGCACTAGGAATGATGTCTGAAAGACAGTCTAAAACGTTATTGTTAGTAATCACTCAATAACATGTGAAAGATCCGTGTGCAAGATATGTCGACTAATCTTTATATTTCTTTCAGGATTACATTCCCATTGAAATTCCTAAACTTAATGGAAGTTTCGGTCTAAATGTGACGGTAAGAAATGATTCTAATTTTTAATCTTGTGGTTTAAGCCAGGTTCTTCGGCGTTTGCACGACTCCCATAATGTACGTATTTTATAACAAAACCTGTCTCAAACATTCCGGCTCAAACTGACTTTAAGGTGATATAGCGACACCTACCAGGGCGTTCTTCCGCGATTTCACTGAAAAACAATTCTAAAAACTACCAAACATTCCAAAAGATGTTACTTCGTTCTGTCAAAAAATTTTGAAACTCTGATTTCCATATTGAGTCTAAATTTGACAAATTTGAATCGACGTTGATATAATATGGAATTATTACCGTTTCATTAATCCGGAGCAATTTTCGTATTCTCACCTGAAAAATATGCTCAGTATATTAATTTGCCGTGAGTTTTTCTTTCCACGAACACTCGAAATAATTCTTATCTCTACTCGCCTACAAATAGATATAAAAAGTGCCCGTTGTGAGCAAAATTTTCATAGCACATTTCATGCATACTTCTTACCATTCTTAAAATGTTCGATGATTTCATTCATGAAACGGTCCGGCATGATTGGAAATGTTAACCATATAGCAGTAAAAATGCTTCCAATACTTACCACAAGTTTACAATGTAGGAGAGAATGTTCCTCTTCAGGACTACAGCATATTCCTTAGAACCATTACTCCTCATTTGAACCATCTTGAAAGGAAAACAAAACAAACAGGGCAATAATTGAACATGTGGTCTATAAGCATGGTTATCGCACACGAATCTATTAGTCAATTTCGAGATAACAAGCAATTTTTGCATGTGACGTTCAGAAGCAGCCGTTTTCGGGTGATAATTTCTTGAAAGAGCTTTTGGCTCTCCGGTTCACGTTTGTTTTATCGAAAATTCAGCCCTCCTCGCTCTGAGGAATTAATATGTGAAGGAATACACAGGTGTGTGGAAGTACCGCATCTAAGCTTTGAATAATTCAGATAAACCTGTTTTGAACTTAATAAAAACGAAGAAAACTTTAAATTAGATTTCCTAAATCCACGACATCATCTAAAACCTTTTAATCGTTCACCTGTATCCCCAGCGAGGGAATATTGCGTCGAACCATGACTAGGTTAAAATGAAGAGTTTAACAACACCAGAATACGTTCTCAGCCCAAAAAATACCTGCTGGAAACGCGATTGTAATATTTTAATGGATTTGTGTTTTTATAAGAAAAAGTAATTTGGCCATGCCAGAGTTTCTCAGTTATCAGCGGGGTTCCACTGAGGTCTCTTTATTTCAATTCGTTTAAACATAATATAAATAAATTATAATCCAAGGCATAATAACAAAAATGTCTGTCGGCTTCGTTCATAACAATGTTTTCAAATTGTGAAAGAGTTGGTTTACTAACAGTTGCGTTTTCCTTTCATAAAACTTGCCAATCTTCTCTTCTCGTTCTTCAAATTTCGCTTTTTCTCATAGCTATTTTTGAAATTTGATTTTTATGGACTGTTTTGACTTGGTATTATCGAAGTATGTCTAAAATTTGAAATTCTCTCTCGATTTTTTTCCCCGTTGTTGACTTGAACATGCACATGATTAGTTTTTAGGTTATTGTTGCTTATTCTGTTTTATTTCTCAGGGTGGACCAGAACTCGATGGGATTTACGTGAAGTCCTTACTACCCGGCGGAGCGGCAGAAGCATCAGGAAAAATACGAAACGGTACGAAACGTTTCCACGACTGACTTGATCAGCAACCGAGAAGGAAACTTTCTTAAACATGACAATACTCCATTGAAAATAAAACTAATTAAATGAGGAAGCCGAGTACAGCACAATGACATGAAAATTTTAACACACCTTAAAGGACTTTGTGTTGTCATCTTCATAAGAGGTCTTCAGTTCTGTATTCCACTCTACCAGGCTTGAAAATTCCCTTACTTTTCTGTTTTGTGGGGAAAGCATCGTTTATAAGTTAGTTTCAAGCAATGGAAAATAAATTCACCGATGGTAGCTTATCTTCCCCTTCCAAGAATCTGATTGGATGGCTCCTAAATGCAAAGAGGATTGTGTTATTTAACCAATCAACTCAGTCCTACTCTTTTATTTTGTCTTCCTTGATTGGCCAAGATAATTTTGAGACGAAACGTATCAGGTATTCTGTTGATTGTTGATTCTAAGTTTCCCTAAAATATTTTGGTCACTTCTTTTGATTTGATTATGCCAAATCCAGTAAACTTTAATCTCAACTGATCTGCAGTCGAAAATTAAAATTTTGGTTTCGTTTGCATGGTCGCTTGAAATAGCATTTTTAACATGAAAGTGATGTCTCAGCTGTGTAGTTTTTGCCGTTTCGCGGAAGTTGTATCAAAAACAAAACAAATCTTAAGGTGTGAGGAAGGCCGGTGTATTGTCACGAAGCATTCCAATCTAAGAGTTGAATCAAAACTTTAACTCCCAAAACTAATCAAAGTCTGAATGGAACTTTACACCACCAATACATGAAGAAGGTACAGTAACAGAGTATTCCGTCGATCTGCCAGCAAAATCTAAAATAATAAACCAGACAAAAATTAAAACAATTAAAGAAATCCTTGCAGACAGTATAGGAAAGTTGATAATAATATAGGGCGTGTGCCTGTAACAAAAGATTGCTTGCTCGTCTTTTATTTAGTGACAAAGAACCTAGCTCGATCACCCTAGAGATTGTGTGTTCTAACTGAAGAATGCATATAGTGCCTCAATTCAGTATATCTACAAGGCGTAGGAAGAACATGTCACAATTGTTTCAAACATGCACCTAGCTTATTGACTTGTTTTTTCTTCTTCAGGTGACAGAATAGTGGAGATAAATGGAGTGGCAATGGAAGGCCTTAATCGCAAGCAGGTATTCTTTCATTTCTTTGAATTTACACCTCTATTAGCTTGCCCCACCCTATCACCTCAGATCAGAGGATGATGGGATGTGAGATCAAGAAAGTTGCTATGGGTGTTGCTTATACCTTTCTAAAAGTCAAAGCATTACTTTGATGGATTAGTTATTTTAGACAAAACAACTTTGAAATGCTTTCAGGTTGATAACGTGAGCACAGATTATAAGTATTTACAATATGAAAAAATATCCGCCCTTTTTTATACGGTGTTTATAAACTTAAATCAAATCACCGCGAATCTTGTGTGCAAGTTATTGCTGGGGTGCAAAAATGTAATAATAATTCAAATAAAAACTTTCTGCAAAATTTGAAACATGTAATATTTTAAGTTGCTTTGGATAATTCATAAATTTTGCAGAAGTGTGGATTTTACAAGATATATCTTGTCGTTTACCTTTCGCTCAGAAATTTAGATTCTCGCGTGAACCCGTAAAATTAACATAACAGTACGGAATAATAATATAGTGTGAGGGCCCGACCTTTAGTTATATAACAGAAACATTTCTTGTACTGTCTGCACTGCTGGCAATATGGCGGGAAAAAGTATTGAGGAGCAGGAGGGGCCAACATATGAGCCTGGAGCTTTTGGACTTTAATTTTTCACTTCGAACATTATTCAGATACTTTTTTATAAAAGTCCACATAACCTTTACCTGCTTAGAATGTCTCAAATGTATTTCATTATTCAAAAATGTAGTAAAATCTGGGGTTGAAAAGTTACATTTTTCGAGGCTATGCTATTTAGGGGCAGGTCGTTCGAGAGAACGAATTGTCCAATTCTCACCAAATTTGGCAGGGGTATGTATTTTTGCCTGTAGAATGCAATGGCGTAGTTTTTGAAGCCATACAGGTGAAACGTAGATCACTGAATGAGAGCCAAACTGGAAAAAAGTTTTCTTTTATGTTTGCTTGTTGCCATGGAAACAGCACTCCCCAGAAGTTGGTGAAGAGTAGGTCATTGCATTCTACCATGTCTCCTGTATTTTCAGCGACAATTTGGCTCAAATAGGACAGTTTTTAAAGGAGATTGACTTGCTCCAGAATTGTAGCTATTCACAGTAGGGTCCTAGTCAACACACGTTAGCTCGGCCAGGATTTGACGAAACCTCTTAAAACTCATGACTTTAAGTCTTAATTTAGTATAAGCTACGATTAAATATGGCTTTCAGTTGTCATACTTTCTGGACTCCATGTTTTGACAAAATTTGGCCATTTTTGAGGGTATCTACTACCCTTTAAGAGCAAGTGTGCCCGGGGAAGATTGGAGAAGAATGAATCACATTTTGCTCAACATTTAATTTCAATGCATGTTTCGATTCACAGGCAGTGGAGTTGCTACGGCGCTCTGCAGCTACTGCAACACTTGTTATAGAGCGCTACAGACAACCAGAGCCTGAAGGCCCCCAGCTGGAAGATTTGGAGGACCTTCTTAGAACGTCGGTAAGATTGTTTGTGCCTCTAAACATGGGACATTTCTCCTTGGATTTAAAACGCTCAATTTTAAATGCTTCCCTAAGGAATATGATACGTTACACGATGAAGTTCATTGTGACTAATTCCTAAAAATACATTTAATTTTGCAAAGTTTTGTTCTTGCAATGATGCGATGTGTTTGTTTCATAGCCGAATTGTATCCTTGTGGAGTTACAGAAAATGAACCATTCGTTTGGATTTAGTGTTGTGGTGAGTCGTGTTTTTCCTTTATAAAGATTATGCTACTTCTTTTTTTTCTTAACCAACCTCAGTTTAGAAAACAGACTGCTCTTGTAAATTGCACGCAAAATTAATCCCATGCGTTATGTGTGAGCAAGTACAGTTATGACTAGATACAGCAAGAAAAAAACAATACAAAACTCCAATTGTCAGTACTAGTCAACATCCAGAAGTGATGTTCGTTGGCCTTCTTTTAGAGTATCTGTGCTTTTAAATGCTGTTGAAGTACTTCTTTAACAAAAAAGTACAGCATGGTATACGTTTATATACATGTATCTACATTGAAGCGATGAAATCGTTTTAACTGACAGAAGATATACACTGTGATTTTTGCTAATTGTTTGAATCTCAACAGGGTGGGCCAGATTTCGGTGGAATTTTTGTTAAAACCATTAATCCAAATGGAGCAGCGGCAATGGATGGCAGAATAGGTATAAACGACAGAATAGTTGCTGTAAACTGTGTGAACTTAACAAGGGCCACAAGGCAAGAGGTACGTGGCATAATGTTTTTAATATATATAATATATACATGTATACTAAGTAGAAGACATTAAATACGTTGTCACCACAGAGAAAACGTTTGCACACCGCAGTGAACACAAATGTGATACAACAGCAAGGGAAACGAGATTTCTTCTCATTTACAGCAGAAGCGAGTGAATGAACAAATGAATAACCCTCTTTGAGTTTTGGTGCCAGTGGTGTATTTAGGTGTCATAATGGTGGACTCTGTGCGTAAAGCTACTTATCAGCTCATGTTGTTTTATTTCTGCCAGGCGGTTGACGCCCTTCGGAACTCTCCAATCATCGCTCAGCTTGTTGTGGAAAAAGGCACAGCTGAAGATCTCCTGACGAACAGCAGTGGACCTCCCACACCCCAGGAGTCAAGATACGGAGCTGTACAGTACAGTCATTACCATGCCAGCTCGGACAGTTACAACGGTAAGAATCGAAAAATATGCAAATGATAGCTCCTTTGCAATCATTGACCATGCACTAGTGGTTAATGCTCTGGTCCTGGAGATCCTGGATTCATCTCCCTATATTCCCTTTTTGGATTTGTTCATGTTAGTCCCGAACTCAGCTCTTGGTAAGTGTAGATAGCCAACTGGTTAAGAATCTGCTAGTCGATATTATTCACTGCATTTTGTCCATTGGGACTATTTTTTCCTAATATATGCCTACGTACATTTTATGCTCCTTGGGGCAACGTGAATTTTAAATTATTATTTATATACTATTACCTTACTAAGACTTGGTATATTTACAAAATGCACTTAGATTGATGTTAATTCTTGTAATCTGAGATCGAAAAAACTAAAATTAACATTATATAATTAGTGACATGAATTAATGACATGACAAACCAGGTTGCCAAAAAGCAACTCTTATACCCTGCAAATGCTATACATGGCCACAATGCAAGCTTGTGATTCAGTTAGCTGTTTACACATCGCTGAAGTGCAAAAGCTCTTTTATTTTTGTGGTGCCATACAGCGTTCTTCATACTCATGAAGGTCTTTCTTATTACAGACTATAACATGGACGATCTACCGTTTGAAGTTTACCTTACAAAAGGCCAAAGTGGACTGGGTATGAGCCTTACAGGAGGGGACAATGGAGGTAATTAGAGTCTGGCTTGTTGCAAATTATAATTTAGTCGCAACATTCTTAAGTCACTGAATTATGTGTAACATTTCGTAGAACTTGGTTTAGCCGTGTTTCGTCAACAGACTACGATAGATGCCAGTGATAATTAAAAGAAAACATATGGGTTCCTAAAACATCTATCTATATATTTTTGGCCACCCAGCTCCAATCTACATTAAGAAGCTGGTTCCAGGAGGTTCAGCTCTCTTGTCAGGGCAGCTCCAAGTCAATGACATCATTCTTCAAGTAAATGACAAGAATCTGGATCGGATGACCTACAGAGTAAGTTGTACTTTACTTAACGTAAAAGTCGTGCAATGTTCAAATTAAAGGTTGTACAACATTTCATACGCATGGACATTTTCGCTTTTACATCAAAAACTGATAATTCTGCCATAGGAAACTCTCTTGATCCACGGTCCTCGTTGTATGCATAATTATAATAGAACTGTAGTCAGAGTTCCGTTCACCTTACAAAACCAAGTAAACCATCGCAAAGCCAAGATATTTCAATTCTGTGCAAATACGTTTACCGACTAAGCATGCGAGTCCACAGTTTTCTCGATCTCTCTTTTCTTTTTCTTTATAGGAAGCTCTTTCTATTCTTCGAAACTGCCCTTCAGAAGTTCGATTACTTGTACAAAGACCCCGGATATCCTCGCATCCTCCTTACCCAGGATACCGTGGGGGCAGCGACAGAGCCAGTGTCGATAGTTACGGAAGTTATAGCAGCATGTCCAGTATTTTTTAAACCATGTAGACAAGCCTGTACGTAGATTTGTTGGAATGGTGTACTGCTACGGTTACATCACATAAGTTGTAGCTTGCTCTAGCTCGATAAAACAGGAATCTGGCTTTAATTATCCTTTATAACGTTGGGTGATCAAAACGGTCATCAAAGAGATGGCAACAGGAAGGCAGAGAATAAGAACTTTGACAAGCTCGAGCTAATCATGTCAAAGGATTGTCGCATTAAGATATTCTTTGAGGGTAGAACATAGCGACACTCGTCAGTTTTAAAGGCTGGACGTTTTCTATAATAACATAAATAATTAAATATTATCAATACCGTGCAGCGCTTAGGTCCACAAACCCTGAGTGTCAGAGCAACTCCAGGCAGTGTCCAGGGAAAAGGTTCAGGTAGTGTACGTGAGCCTGGGCGTGTGTCGAATATGACAACTACATGAATCTACGGGCATATTCAGTCTAAGGTAAGGTATTTTTGTTCGGAAGAAGCTGGTCTTTGATTAGGAGATTTTATGCTCGGACATGTACAATTTTTGTTTTTGTTTTTGTTTTGTTTTGTTTTGTTTTTGTCATGTTCAGTTGCCCGTTCCTCATTGATTTGATCATTTTGGTCGTTACGAGTTCAGCTGCAAGTGCTCATCGATGCTTTAATCACTTTGGCTGTCCTGTTCAGTTAAAACCACCAAGCCTAAGGCATGGTTATAAATTAAGAATCACGTTTACTTAAAAGGTTTACTTTGAAGCAACATCCGACCCATTACAGGCCCCACGGGGTCATGACAAAAGGTGAAGTGAAGAGAGTGTTAATTTGAAAACAATTGTTATTAGGAAGCAGGTCGATCGCGCATTTGGAAGATCTTTACAAAGTAAAGTAGATCACTGAGGAAATACAAAGAAGTTTCTAATGTCAGATCATAGGCAACACTACGCGGTGACGTGGAGGCATGAACGACCTTTTCTCTGAGATTTCATTAGGCCAAGATTGGTGGTGCAGAAATTTTCCACCTCAGTCAGGTACTAACCCAATCAGGTTAATTAGGATTGGAAGTTATTGCAACAAAATGGCCTTCAAGTCTTTTGTCGTGACAAAAAGTAGAACACTCCGGGATTTGCTTAAATCCGGTACTAATTTCCAAAAAATGAAAGATAAGCAACACATGGAATTAAGCCGATAGGTATGATGTTTTTCCCCTCTAAAGGTTTTCGCCAAGTCTGGGGTAATTAAGACCCTTCTTGAGTTCCATTTGACTTTATACAGCTTTAAAAATCAGTCCTTATTGCCGTGAACTGTCGGCAGAGTACGTGTAAAGATAATTTGAACAGGATTTATTTCACCAGCGTTTAACATTCCATGAGTCATGATTGCTAGTCGATGCTGAAGACCAGTGAGTGTACATTTGAATTTTTTTCACTTACGGCACTTGAATCTAAAGCCCTGTTCACTCTAATGCGGTAGTATGAAAACGCATTCTTCCTGACGCGATTTCGCCTACCGTCCACACTAAAACGACCGAAAACGCTGCATCGTTTTCACCGAAAACGTATACATTTGATGAAGCTGCCCAGTGTGGAAACATTTTATGTGTGGACAGCGAAAACGGAGTGAGTTCGAAAACGCTGACGTCTGTCATATCACGTGCGCATGCCCAAATGACAGTTGTGATGTTTTCTTATAGCATATCACTCAAGCGCTTCATTGAGATCGGGAAGAACGCTGCGAAAACGGTAGTTTGGACGGAAAGCGTTTTCGGCGAAAACGCATCGTTTTAAAAACGTGTAATCCGTTTAAATCCTTACCTATGCTCAACTGTTTCATAAGTCCACCTAAGCACATATATATTGAGATCGTCAGACAATATGAGGTAAGTGGTGCCCCGGTCTTCTGACTTGTTTTCACGATTTCCAATCATTAATAAACGTGTAGAAAAATAAAGCAAACACAGAATAACCTTTTTTTAAATATAAATTTCGGTATTATGAAGAAACTCTTTAAAACAAAACTCATTCCTTTTTTTTTTCCAATTTTCTCTTGTCATCTTATTCCTTGTCAAACCCTCCAGATTCTTTTATTTTATTTGATTTCGTAATTTAGTTTTATGAAAGATAATAGACATAATTTAAGTTTTGGAAATGTAGTATACAATTCGTTGTGAGTCAGATTAACCCCTTCAGCCCCAAGCAAGCTCTCGCTGGTCACAAAAAAAGTTGTAAGTATTCTCCCAAATGATATGTGTAAGAAATGCACTGAGACCACCGAAGGGAATTTACACATTGATATTGAGGCTAAAAGGGTTAATGTCTTCACTTAATGAGGATACGAAGAGTGAATAACCGAATGCTGTCCGATATAGAGAACATTTGATAAGTCTTGTAACATTAGATGATTTATGTTAAGTTTTTTAATTTTGTATGCTATTGCATAATAAGGCTTAATAAAATATTTTGAAATAAATGATAGCATTGTTTATTAAATTTGGGTTGATATTCAATCAGTTTTATGAGTAACTTGACGAAGAGACAAAGTTTACAGCATTCTCATTATTGTCAAGGATTACTGGATCGGCGACAAAATAGAAAACTGTGAAGCGTGCAATGTTGAGTTTGCACGCGGAGAGCTACTCTAGCAAACCTTTCAACTACATTTACCCATTTATAGCTTACATATAATATATTCTGAACAATTCTCAGCAAGCCGTTAAGCCCCGGCCAAACGATCGCAACATGTCAACGCAACATATCGCAACATTGTTGGGCGCAACATGTTGCGTGCTTTTGACCACCGCGTTGCGACATGTTGCGACATGCTGGGTGTTTTGCTAGCTCAAATTTGACCATTTTCAAGCCCCGGCCAAACGATCGCAACATTTCATCACAACATGTCGCAACATTGTTGGCCCAGCATTTGAAAGCTCCGGCCAAATGATCGCAACATTTAAACGCAACATATCCCAACATTGTTGGCCGCAACATCTTGCGTGCGTTTGGCCACCCTGTTGCGACGTGTTGCGACATGTTAGGTGTTGAAAATCGAACTAGTGCGCATGCCCGGGCGCAACATTGTTGGACGAACCTGAAAAATTTACGACTCAAATCCTATTAATGAATTCAATTAAATTGAAGTAGCTGTTTTAGCCAAATATATTTGATTCTTTCGCGTTACTGGTTTTTTTAACGAATTTATTGGTTTTAAAATTGCCATTGTTTACTTTTAAAGTCTTCTCGACATGATATACACGTACATTTATAATTAGCTCCTCCAACTTGTTTAATTAATAGCCCAATTTTTTCTATATGTTAACATTCTACTTTATAGCAATGTTCAGGGCGACTCAAACCACTGAAATAGCCCATGAGTGGAGACTGGAGCCAAAGTGCAACAAGCCGAGGGCGCTGGACGCTTAGATGGCTTTAATCACTGATTGTTTTCCTCTTCACAGGCTAGGGTACTGTGACTAGCGACTCACTTCCTTCTCACGCCACATTTTTACACCAGTTCCTGTTGAAGAGCTTCATAATAGCTCTGATTTCCCAGGGCCAGGTCGTTCGAAAGCCGGTTAAAGCTAACCAAGGGTTTAAATTAATCCGAGGTATTTCCTTATCTACTATGAAAATGTCTTTCGTTGCTCATGTTTTGTATAGATTATCACAACTGAAGAATATCTAAGCAATATAAACAGAAAACGTCACTGAAACGTCTGCAAAACAGAAATCAAAATTCACGCTAATACTTCGTTAGCTTAATCAGGCTTTGAACAACCCGGCCCAGAAACCCAGGGTGATTTAAATTGCCGTTTGATATGTTCAATGGACTTGCCTATCTGGCATGTCACATCTACCTATTCGCCTATATTTATATCGGAAATATTACAGAACATATAACTGCCTCCTGACTATCCGTTCATAAAAAAACTCACGTTGACAACCTTGAAACACCACATCGTCAGGAATCGAAACAATAACGTAAGATAAAATGACGTTAATCATAACATAATAGCGCTCGCCGAGTAACTGTACTTTCGTAACATTTCAGAGCTACCACAAATAATATTGAAGAAATATTCCCGATAATCAGTTACCTCAGCGTCTTCTTTATAAAAAAAGGAAACTGAAAATAATTTTTAGTTATAAAATCGCAATTACTTGCTGAAATATAATTATTCTTAGAAAGAGTTAAAAAGATTAAAACACCTCGTAAATTATTTTAACAGTATCGCATTACATCTGTAAAACATATGAAGCCTTCCGTCCTTCCAAGCAAGCCTAAGTAAATATCGCTAAGGTGCGTGCTATAATACCGTAAAATTACGGCCCATCATAGGCCCATCTATATTACAAAAAAAATCCTATTCCGGTTAGAAGACCCCCTACCGGATATAGTCCCTCTTTTACTTTGTTGAGAAAGCTATAAGCAACGGCCTTTGTGCTTCGCGTGTTTGTTTCCTTACTTGTGTTCTCAAGACGATAAAAATCGTTATATACTACTTTATGTTGGTTCTATCAGCTTACTTCAAAACGTTGTTGTTGTTGTTTTCTACCGCTTATAAGCCCAACCAAAACCCTTATAGAAGCTCAGTCACGTTAATTTGAGTTATTTTGGCCTCGTAAAAACTACCTTTAAACTGAAGGAAACCTGACAATAAAAGTTTACTAACATTGAAACACACCAAAACGACAAAAAGAAACCTTAAAGGAACAAGGATGGTCAAGAATGGAGAAGATTGACACGGATTACAAACGACAAACTTGAATATTTTAGGCTAAACTTTTCAAGATGCGAAAACCGTCACGTAGCTCCTTTAAATGAAGTTGTATAAACTCAGGGCTTATCACTGGAATTTTAAGGTATTTAATTTCACAAAAGGCTAAGGCTGAAACCGTCACCTTCCCAACTCGCTACGGTGATAATTTACCTTTATCAACTGATAAACCGCTAAGTGCTTAATATTTTTACGCGCGCGGATCATTTCTTACTTTTCTCCGTAATTGGAATTTATTCGTCAAATTTAAACTCTTGTTCTGCAAGAACGTAAAGGACAATTCTATCTTCATTATTTGTTTGACAACTGTAGCTTCTGTGTCACTTGGTGATAAATACCACGAAAGCTTTTGGAAACATGCCTTTCTTTCCGTTGAGTTCTCCACAACACCAAGTTTCATCCTCATCATAAAGACGTTTAATAAGATCGCCGGCCTTAAACGATATCTCGTGGTCGCCTTGTGCTTCGTAATCAAACTCCGCGCGACAATACTGTTCTTGAGTTTTCTTCACATTTGTATCTTTTGGCTTGTTGGTCTGGTCCACAGCAGAGTACATTGAATCATCAACAGGTTCTGTGGAGAAAATAACTGATAAATTGGAATAATACAGCGAGTAACCAGGAGACCGTAAATACTGATATCTGATTGGTTGAAAGCAGATCGATTTAACCCTCAATTTATCATTCATTTCAACTTTTCGCGCCAAAAGCACGGTTGCTGCGCACACTCAACTCACTTCCAGTAAATTCGTTCCTGTGTCAGAAAAATCAATCAAAAATCAAAAGGAATCGGCCTTTATCTAACTTCCACTCGCTACTGGCACGGCTTCTCAAAGGTATTAATTAAAACAAAAAACGCGACCTTTGATATTTTCTCGAGTACAATTATTGCAATCGCTAACTACACTGTTCACAGCCCTCTATTTCCTCGTATTTTTATTCCATCGTTGAACGCGCGGATAGAATCGCAAGAGAACTGGACGCCAGCTCGTTTTTAGTGCAATTTTCGTGTATGGTTTGTGAGCCTGAATAAATTAAATGGAGTAAAAATTGTAATATTGTAATCCCCCTTGATAAGCCTCGGTGCTTTTGGGGAAAACAAAAAAACAAATATGTTTAAATTAAAAAAAAATTAAAAACAAAACTTCGTTTAGCTCGCGTCGCTCGCCTCCCCGCCCACAACCCCTCGTGCTTCACGATCGCTTCGCCTGCTTTTTCTTTCGCGTACGTCGAATAATAAAGAGGCTGTGAAAAGTCTAATCGCTAACGTTTTTTTTCCAAATAGTCAGATTGTGTCCAAATTACTTCCTTGCCAAGCAAGAGAAAACAGTTACGAGAGGGAAGTTGGGAGGGGGGAGAGGGTACTAAGGTTACTAGCCTTTTTAAAGCCTGGGAAGACCTACATAGAGATGTACCAGCTGCTCACTGGGATATCCGAGGGAGGGGGGAGGGGAGGTAATGTCGGTCGCATCTTACCTGGTGCAGGGATACCAGGTAGTTGCATTTGAGGACGGCGCATAGCTGTTTTAGGCGTATCAGGTGATGATTGTACTCTGGCGATTTCTTTAGAATGCTGGAAAGTCCCAGAAAGTGGACCACTAATATTTACATTACTGCCCGGTGATAAGACCTTCTGTGATGACTGCGTCATGTAATAATTCTCATATTCTATTTTAGCTGTAAACAAAAAAGAAATACCACTCATTTAACACAGTATTCATCGAATTAAGGTTGGAAAGGACCACTATGAAGCGATACTGTAGTGAATAATATGCCTGCGTATATGCAAAACTACCGAAATGGCAAGCCCCAGCGTTTGGTTTCCAATTTGCGACAAACTCAAACAGCAATTTTAAAACGGTAATACATCACGCGCAACCAACAATATATATCACAGCTTGTGCTATCAAGTTCCAGAAGATCTGACTGTTACGAAACGTACTCTGAACAGTCACCCTGAGCGTTGTCATGTGTAGCTACTGATTGGAGGAATCGAAAATAGTCACGAGACGGCTAGGTTCATTGCGTTGTGCCTCTGGGCAAGGCACAGGCGCATAAATGGTTTCTGGCAAATTCAATTCTTGTGGGGAGGGGGGTAACCCTGTGGACTAGCATCCCATCCAGGGAGGAGTAGAAATACTCCTAGTCGCCTGATACCACGGAAACCGCAGGCTAAATTGACGGTCTGGAGAACTTGGCCCGACACAGACTTTACCTTAACCTTCACTTGTTCAGCTTGTTTAAGTTAAAGATACAGTTTGTATGAAAACTAAACTCACTGACCTGGTCTTTCAGATCCAGTTTTTTTCATACTAACAAACAAATGAATGTCCGAATCCACTACACAATGCTCCAGACTTTTTCGCATTTCTTCACAAATCTATGATCGAACGGAAAGTTGCATATGATTATGATAAGACATTTGAAACAACCGAGAAAGCTTGTTCAATAAAATATTTATCATAATGGCTCTTTTCAAACTTTGCTGACAAATTAAAGTGAGCAATTCTTTCCTCCTCGAGGTCTAATGGAAACAAAACATTATTTTCGTTTTTCAGGTCACTTTAAGCTGAAACTGTCCGTCAAACATGAAGGAAACAGAGATCTCCACCAAAAAAAACATACATTTTTGTAACGTTTTCTTTTCAGTGCGCAATGTTTTGACAGCGCAGTTCGCTGAAATTAGATTTTGAGCGGACTGTTCAGCGACCAATCGGAATTCTCTTTTTTATCGTTCATTGCCATATCAATAATGGCCATCTCAAGTTTGTAGGCAGTGTTTTACTCACCTCGTCAACTTTAACACAGTTCATTGAACTGGTGTTAGTATAGGCCCACATTACATTCCGCAGAAACGCAATTCTCTCCTCCTCGAGGTCTTGGAAACGCTATTAAGAAAAATGCAGTTGAATATTCAATGCGTAAAACAAAAGGGAAAAACAAAACAAAATAAACAGCCGGATACTTGTACATGTGTGATTTCTAAATCAAATGAAGTATTAGCCTGAATGGGTGCCTGAGTTATTCCAGTTCATTAGGCCTAATTGTTTATGAATGTTATTTCTGAGTATTTTGGTGCAGTGGACATCCGTATGCCGTTGCAAAAACAGATGAAATACTTTGAAAAATATTTTAGTCATACCCGCTGTTGCAGCGCACCTCACTTGAAAAAGATGCACACATGTGGGGGAACATACATGTAGTAATGAATCCAAATGCAAGACTTTGATATTCAATAATTCATTTTTTCGTTAGATCTCCGATTTTAACCTCTCATTTCTTTTCTCTTTTTTTTTTTTGACATCGTTTAAAGAAGGCAAACGTTCAAACGTTTAGTTGTTACCTACGTTATTTTGTTAAGCAATTTCTAAGCCTTTTATCAACCATACACACAAGTTGATGGTATGCAGTGTACGTTTCCCACCACCTCCTACTCGCAATTCATGTACATCATGAGGTACACGAGCCTAGTTCAAACTATTTGAGCTGAGTGATGCATGAATTATTAATCTAACTACTTTAAGTCAATATAAATTACCGAAGAGAGCACTGCCAAACTTACATTACAACACAGCTCCATTTCCTTCTCCCAAACCACCCGGGCCTCCTCAAGACTGCGCACTGAATTCTGGTATGCTGTGTCTAAAACGATTAAGAAATAAACCCAGCCAACGTAATTCATTCAAGGCACATAGGATATTCAGCTGGAGCATGACCAGTCTGCCTTCCCCTTATTGACTCACGAGCAGAAAACTTGCTACCAATTTGGTAGCCTGCAGAACAGGCGTAATTTTTTTGCGTATTTTAGACGAATAGAGGCGAAAGCGAGGCGAGCGCGCGCGAGGGGAAGAGCGTGAAAAAAATATTTTTTCGCGCTCTTCCCTTCGTGCTCGCCTGGCTTTCGCCCCTGTTCGCCTAAAATACGCAAAAAAATTACGCCTGTTCTGCAGGCTACCAATTTGGTTTTTCACTTATGGGTGAAACTGAACCTACATGTACACGGCTTAATGGGTCATGCTTATATATATGTGCAGATTCCATACATTTAAGAACAACACGTATCAAATTTACTTGTATGATAGAAACTCTTAATAAACTTAGTGAGGATTACAGTCTACAAGTAGGCTTTTACCTGTTTGGTCAACTAAAGTTTTTGCTCTGCCCAGTTTGGTTCGCAGCTGCAAATGGAAACGAAATAAACACAATAATAAATTAAACTGTGACACTTTTATTGCTCACATGTACATGTGACAAGTATGTCATTCATGTACATGACTATTGATTTACAACTTAGAAATAAGAAACCATATGTTTGTACATGTATGCAGCTAAATTCTTTTACAAGAAAGAAATGATTTTCGGAAAAATGTAGTGTACATAAAGCAGTAAGCAGTACACACACTGTGTACTGCATGCAGCTGTCTTTTTTCCATAGTTATCCCAAGAAACAACAAAAACAAACGGAAAAATCTTGTGAATCTTCCTGTCCCAAGTAAAGTATTTTGTTCTACAGGTTCCAAAGTTCTGAGAAGCAAACAGCTTCCCGAGAGTGTAGCTCGAGGAAAACTGTGAGCTTTGAGGAACAGATAATGTTCAAGGAATATATGCAAGCATATTTTACTAAAGTGAAAGTAATTTCTGATTAATTACAACCAGGTAGAAGCACGTTAGATTTCACTTAGAAACTCCAGCTATGTATTGAGTTTGTTATCCTTCAAATGTTTTTTTTGCAACACGTAAAGTTTTGAACATTGGGGAATATTACTGGCATATTCCCCAGTTTTTGCTGAGGTATATTCAGTCACGTAACACGTTTAGACCAATCGAGTGCAAACGAAAATATCTGATGGATTATAAGTGTAATTACGTAGCCCTACAGTACATGTAACCAACTATATGTACATAATTACGAACAGCTTGTAGTAAGACGAATTTGAAAAAATGGAGGAAATTTGCACTGATTATTACTTGTGAAAAGATGAGCTAACCTTTTCTTCATCCTTGCCTGAAAGTGATACAGATCTCTTAAGTGCCTCTTCTGCCACATTCACATCATGGCATCTTTGTTCATAGCTCTTTTTTAGCTGACCATTTGGCAAAATAAACGTAACAACATAATGTGACTTTCTTTGACTGTACCTGCTTACCACGGTACACTAGCATCAGTAAAAGAACAATTTACTGTTCTGTAACATACTGAACATTTATATATATTCATTAGCCAAGAGGCATCCATTTCCCTAATCACTGTCACACTGAGGGGTCTGCCTGACTTTTAACATGCCTGTTAAACCTGCTGTCCAGGGGAAAGAGTATCTCATAACAACTGTTTTCAGAAATTTGAAAGAATTTAATTTTCACTCTCGCGGACAGTTTGAAAAGTTTCAGTTTTAACTATGAAGAAAACTTGTGTAAAAAAATTTTTGAGGCCCAGCTCTTACTGAAAGTGAGCAAAATAATTAATGTATTTATAACGAATATAAGAAACAGAGGACAGGAATTAACAGAAATCACAATTAGATTGAATGAATTACGGTTCTTCTGCCCTTTACAGTCAAGGTCAGTCAAGGTCATCTTTGGCTGTAAATTGAGTGCATTTATTTATCTAAAAAACAGCTCGAGCTTTTCAAAAGCACCGTCTGCTTTTGGTTTCAAAACACCACCATGTAAATAATCGTAAAGAAGATTTATAGATGTCTATCTGTGTATGTGTATGTGAGTGTGTGTGAATAGCAGCTACTGTGATTTAAAACTTACTTTCACAGTTGTATCAAAACACTTCCTTTTATATGTTTGAGCTCTCTTCACTGATTCCTCAACCTTTTGAATCAGAAGAAATCACTTAAATTAAGACATAATTTGTATTGAAAATTACAAGAATGCAGTGCATTTATAAAGTGTATATGATTTCAGGGCATATATGCATGAGTGATGTCCTGAAAGTTTTCAAAATTGCACATTAACCTATGTGATTTGAGAACTTTCTAAAAATAATGAGTGACCATATTTATAACCCCCTTACTATAGTGAATGAAAGCTCCACATATTTGAATGACATCAAAACCCATGGCCAGAAGCTTTGCAAAGCAATTATTGTTATTATTATCATTATCACTATCATTGTCATTGTCATTGTCATTGTCATTGTCATTGTCATTGTCATTGTCATTGTCATTGTCATTGTCATTGTCATTGTCATTGTCATTATTATTTTATTTATTTATTTATTAAATATTAACGTTTCACTCTGCAGCTGACTGGTATTAAAAACCTATGTGCTAATAGTATCTGATAATTAACAGAGAATTTAACAGCTCCTTTGGGAACAACTAAGGATTGCAGGAGTGAGCACAGTTGGAGTGACTTTCTTACAGTGTATATAGGTATATTATGCCCACTTAAAGATCTAAATGTTTTTAGTTTTTTTCTGTATGGCCTCTGGATAACTCAGCATAGTCTGCATTCAGTTTGCAGCTCAGTTACATGCAAACATGCAAGTAACTACTTATAATGCCACAATTGCAAAGTTTCAAAATTACAATTGAAAAAGAAATGAATTCTGATTGGCCAGTTACTTAGAGAGTGTAAAATCTGGCTTCTTTTAAATGTACCTGTATACCTGTACATATGACTATACACGAACATGTGCATAGTAGTAAATATATCATAGAATTCCGGAAGTAACACCCGCCCCCCCAAACAATATAAAAAATAAAAAATAAAAAATAACAGCTCCCCGAAAGTAATGTTATTTTTTTCCCTTCCTATTCAACCCCAAAATGAAATGGTCCCCCCAAAAGTAGTGGCCCACCCAAAAGTAGCGGCCCTTTGAAGAAGTCACTAAAAGAGAACTCTCTGTTTTCAACCTCGGGTCATGCGGATGGAACAGCCTGACTGCAGGACTAAAAATTGACTTGAAGAGCTATCTGTGCTTTTATCTGCTTATTTTAAACTTGACTGAATTTTTCTTCAAACCAAGATTTATAAACTATATTTGTCTAGAGGCAGACTCAAATGATATATTATAATGCAACCATCATTCTTTCAATTCACCCTACAGTGCCAACTGGTTTAGCGCCTTTTTTTGTTTAGACAGTCTGCTTTGTTTATGTGGGTAGCTGGAAACTTACATAAATGGAACATTTTATTTCTTTTGTTATGCGTCCTCTCTGTCTGAAATGGCTGTTGCTGTATAACGTTTTGTAACCATCTGAAAGTAACGGCTACCCGAAAGAAGCAGACCCCTTTGCCTGCTAAATCCGAAAGTAACAGGGGCCGTTACTTTTGGAATTCTACAGTATAATAGTCATCTTGTCAAATGATTGTACTGTACCTTACATGCGGTAACTTGTACATGTATATTGACCATAGGAGGTACTATTACAAGCTATTATAAACCTATGTGAGTAATGACACACCGAACTGATGGCACCTATTGTAAAAAAATGTACAAATTGTACATACAATACAATAATTTTACTATAATGTAATTGGCAAATTATATCTTACACTTTTCCTTGCATCACGCTGTGTTTCTCTGAACTTCCTGACACACAGTTCTAGTTCTTCAGTTAGTTGTTGTGCCAAAGAAATATGTACTTTACCTATATTTTCTGTTTCTAAACATGGAAAAAAACAATTTATTTAAGAATTACTTATAATCATTGACAAAAATCAGCAAAAGTAAGAAAATAATTGAAATTAAATTAATAATTGAAAAAAAGAGTGAAAAAATGCACTTTAAGCATGTGCCTTCATATCAGAGAGAATAAGTGGCCCATATGGGAGACTGGGAATTTTTGGTCTGTGTCGCGAGACTCCAGGATAATTCGGGAGAGTTGATGGGAGCATAGATGGAAAAGTGGTAACTGCCTGCAGCTGCATCAATGAAAACACTGTCTAGTCTCCACATGTATGTGTAGGTGCTTTCAATTCATGGCCAACGTTTTACTATCATTAATTTTGCTTCCTTTTTCAGGAATGATTTATAAAGTGAAGACAAAAGAAGCTGTGTTGTACTTGACTGTATCTTTTCTTCCAAAGGCCTACAGGTATACAATCATATATTCATTTCCACAAGATTTTTAAAAGCCAACTTAAGGGCTGGTATGTGTAGGTAAAATTTAGTATACCTGTTTTAATCACATCCCAAGATTCTCTGAGAGTCCTGAAAAATTAAATCAACCTTCTTTAAATTATATCAATTTATTTAGTTCATTTTAAAGCAGGACATACTTACATGTACTTAGTCGATTAAAATAAATGATTTTTTTTTACAATTTTCACTAAAACTGCAGTATTACAACAATAACTGTACTAGTATGTGCGTTTGTAGCATGTGGATTACCTAGAGTAAGTATTATGAATATATCTACTCTTTTCCATACAAAAAGTAATTTTTAGTGCTGTGCATTGTAAGTAGGCCAACTGTAATTTAATTAGTGTAATTATGCATTGTAATGTATGTATTTTAAGTTAAGTGCAAGTAGTAAGTATAGTGTAAGTAGTAAGTTAGTGTACTAAGTATACAATAATGCAAGTATAATTAACAATTAGATTATTTGCTTTCGATTTCTATGAGATGACAGTTGATTCGGCCCTCGGCCTCGGCCTCATCAACTATCACCTCATAGAAATCGAGAGCAAACAATCTAATTGTTTTAGTAGAATTCTAACAGAAAATTTTCTTCAAATAATGGTTTCCAATTACTTCTCGCCATATTATTAAAATTTGCATCTTACAAAGATCACTCGGATTAAATTGTCATTTGAAATTCAGTTGTGTGCATGCACATTTTAGTCTTCTCAGGAATTTATTTATCCATTTGCATCAAAATGTTCCTTCAAAATTTTGTTAAGCGACTGCACTCTAATGCTGATAGTATACAAGTAGCTCAGCCAATCAGATTGCAGCATTTGCATAAGTATATTAGTGGAATTTTACTAATATTATTTAGTGCTATAAGTAGAAGTGTAAGTGCTCACCCTGCCAATAAAATTGCATTTTAAAAAAATTATGAATTATATGCAGTAATTGTATTACCTGTACAATGTACATGCCAGGCCATAACATTATGTATAATTTCTAATTAAAAATTTATGAGAATATGTTCATGGGCAATCCCTTGACTCTTGTAAACAGTCTTTAAATTAGCTCTAGAAGTAGCTTGATAAATGCTGCAGAGGAGAGGGGGGTGGGGCCCTGCAATGAACTAGCATCCTATACAAGGGGTAACCCATGGCTGAGTGCCTTATTTACACTAGCTGCAACTTAACCATAAAGAAACAGTTTTGAATGAGTAAATTCTGCTTCTATATTAGGTAGCATAGGCAGTGACAATAGCGATGATAAGGACGTCCACCAAAAAAAAAAAAAAAATTTAAAAGCTACCTTTTCGAATTTTGCAATTTTCTAGGTTTCTGTGCAGTACATCTATCAGTCTTACTAGAAATTAAATCTGCTCAAACTAAGTATGTAACAACCGCAAATGAATTCAATAAAAATATATTTATCTGAACAATTAGCCACTGTGGCACACGTTCTCCAATATTATGTGCATAGAATATACTTCATCTGATTTCATGTTGCTGTTTCGTAGAGGGTGCCTACGAAATGTACTACGATTTATAATTTGCACATGCACAGCCAATGTTCTACTGATGGACTATGGTGATGTTCTCACAATTTCCATTGCTGCCATTGTCTGCTTAAGTTCCCTATTGAACAAGCGACACAGTTAGATACTGCTCTCATTTAAAAATATTATGTGGGCTTAAGGGTCACTCAGCAAATCATCTTACCATAAAACACACCTTGCTTTGAGCTACCCATGTATGAAGTTTAACGTATTTCCAAAGTTCTATACATGGGCTATAATTTAAAATGATATACATTTCCCTTCTTTCTTTGAATTATAATTATGAACTCAAGATTAGTCATGGAAATACATTTTTAACAAGTACATGTTAACTACAGTACTGTACATAGTTCATCTGTAGAACTTGAACTACACTGGTGTCAAACGATATTAATATATACACTGTAATTACATCAAATCAGCTGACATCTATAAATAATGACAATTAGTATAAATCTACTTAGCCTTCTATCATGAACACCATTGTCTGTATACGCAGAACATTGTTAACAAACTGCAGCCACTCCTAAGTCACATTTTTTGAGTTAGGCTGCCCTATCAGGCGATAGGAATCTTGAGCTCATATTCTATTATTTATTGTTAAATGAACCATATATTTACCCAATCTCCTCTTTGCCTTTGGCACTTTCCGCAAGTCTCATAAGGGCCTTGCCATACTTTTCCTCAGCATCTGCCCTAGATATGATGTGATAATACAGATTGGATTAATTAATTAATTTGAAGAACACTGATATAATTGTGACAAACTGACTGACAAGGTGGATATGAGACCTGAACAGTCGACTTCCAAACTTCAAAATATTTCAAGTTGTTTATCTCAGCCACAGGCAAGGCATTAATATTATTCACGTTCTTCTTCCAATCTTTACCATTTGTTTGCAGCAGCTTATGTAAATACAAAGTGCCTACTTTCTATAGTTTCTAAGAATAGCAACATATAAATTTAGCTCCTTTGCACAAATACCTACTTGTACATGTACGTGTACTTACTCAGTGAGTAGTTTGCTAAGGTCACCCACCGAGCATTGTCAGAAATGCATTGAACAAAATAGCAGTGAGTTTCAGGTAAACTAAAGGGGTTCTGAACTCTTAGAACTAACAACTTATTTATTTGATTTCACCTAACTAAGATACTTAATATATAGGTAAAATGTCTATTAGGCAGGGAGACCACTACAGCCTAGCCAATTATAGTGGATCCCTCGTTTCTATAATTATTAATTAAAACAGACATGTGAAAATGTTTTGGAGTAGCAAGGTAAGAACTAGTGAGACAATCTCAGATAGTGCAGAGTGTAATTTACGGCTCTGATGCAGTAGTCACATGGGTCCTCACCCCTGCTGTTCTCTCCCTTGGTACTCAACTTTTCCCCTTTGCAGAGTATGAGCGACATAATCTTAGCAGTGTGTGTGTTTCATGTTTGTGTTTTGCCCAAAAATAACTTACAATTACTGTTTGCCAAGACGGTTTTAAATTTATTGTGGTATTTTATCTTGAGTTTCTTCGTTTTGTAGCATTACTTTTCACGCCAACGTTTGTAATTTGATAATTTTGTTTTCCTCGACAATGTATGCAACAAGATACCATTGTTTCCACGAAAATATAAGAAAGATATGCACTTTTTAAACTCACTGCTGGAGATAAATGGGACATAAAAGTTAAATATCTGCTGAAAAGTCGAAGAGGAATGATTTCGTTTTGATTTCACCGATAAACATGAACTAATTTAATTATCAAATAGTCACGTCGAATCAGAGAATAGTATGTTCTAATTCTGGGGCCAGCCGAGTTCGTGTACACAATAAAACTACATCAAACTAATACACAATGCTATCGAGCAATACAACTGAGGAGCGTTTCAACGATTATTGAAGGTAGAAATCTTTACTTGACCGAAATTACATCCCACATCAGTGAGCGAGTCACCTCATCGACAACTGATGAAATTAATTGGAGGTTTCAGTAAGTGCCAAGGAGTCTCTGGCAATAATAACGAAGTTTCTTTTGTCACAAATTTACTAGTTTTATATGTAACTAATGCGGGAAAGTTTCGGCTGAATATGAACTTTGGGCTCTCTTTCAAAGAAGAGGAAGTAAACAAGCTGCTAAGGAGAAGCAATATGTTCACATTCTCTATTTCAACCCTGGTAAACACACAATAGTTATAAAACAGTAGACGACATTTCTTGAATCGAGCTAGGTAAGATTCCAGAAGATACGCAGTCACAGTAGCATTCTTTGCACTAAAAAAGGAGAACTGAAGTTACCTGAAATATAACTGCTTTCCCCTAACCAAAACGTGAGTGTAATATCACTCATTACAACAAAATAAAAAAAGCATGCATCTGAACTCGAGAAGGGAGTTTATCACACTAGTAATGCTAGAAAGCATGCGTCTTACATGTTATGTTCTGCCACAAGGGAAAGCACTGAACATTTGTGGGTAGTCCCGTATGAAATGTATCTTTCACCTAACATATAGTCGAATTTGACGCTAACTAATCTGCGCATGCATTTAGAGCAAATTGCTTTTGTTCTTAAGAGAATGGCACCACAAGGATAGCATGAGATTTGCAAAACCATACATTATATATTTTAGTCATGTTATCGAAGAAAGCAACGTAAGTATGACACGTTTTGCATAATGCACTGGGGTACCTACCCCACCCAGCTCCCTTCCTGCAAGGCAAATTGATTAATTGAAATTAATTAATTAAACAAACATTAAAGTTCACACCTTATGGCATTAGTGAATTATGGCGTTAGTGCCTTAGCGAACAGTAGCCCCCTAAACCATCCCAATAGTGCACTCTGCACTAAAAATGACAGCACAATTTTGACATATTAAGCAGTCACACCACCATGTATTTTTCATTATAATTCAATCTCGTACTAGCAGAGTCCTAGCACTCCCTGCATGCAGACTAGCAGTTGGGAAAGGGACCTGGGCTCTGGGTATGAGATCAATTATAGTTAGCATAATTATTTCAAAATGCAATCAAACCAATCTTACTGGTATTAATACCTGCAACATACCTCTGTCTTATAAAATCCTCAAAATCCTGACACATTTGTTTCCCATCCCTCATGCGCTTACACAGCACATCAAATCCAGCTGTACTGTTAAAATCTGTCCCCTACAAGGATCATTGCAATCAATGGGTCAATCACATATGTTTGTATACTTTGATATATAACTGTACATAAAACTAAAAAGGTCCAAAACTAAGAACCATGAGATAGCAGAAATTATTTATACAGTTTCCACTATGTCTTAAAAGCAAAATGTAAATTATGCTGATATCTCCACATCTGTAGTGACTGGAGTGAAGTGACTTTGGGGCAGCAAAATTCCAATTGGATGTAAAGGAGGGGGAGGGGACAGGGGTCTGACATAAAAGTCCAATGGGTGATAAGGGGGAAACAAGTGAATATGTTGAAAAGCCAGTTTCTCTTAGTATGAACTATTGGGCATCATGTACATTCCCGTACTGTGCCTTGACTCGATTTCTATAGTAAATAAGCTTAAGCTTAAACTTATTGCAACTTGATTAATGCAATTTGTGCTACATGTACATTAATTGTAGAGGTTAGGGATGGGTCTGTAAAATTGCATTTAAATTAAGGATTTATAAGGTTTATTCCGACTCGGAAGCACGGATAGCATAATTCATAACCAAAATAGTAATCGATGTCACCAAACAAAGAACGAGACAAACAAACGAACAAACAAAGGTTAAGCGTTTTTGATATATTCTAGGATTAAAGCAAAACAACAGAGGGTATAATATTTTTAATGAATGCTGGTTGCATTGTTCGATATACGATCCGCTGTGTGAAACCATAAATACTGTATGTACTATCTATTTATGTGTCGTTAGCTTCGACTCTGAGAACAACAAACGTTTGAAACGTTTAGCCCAGCAATTAAAGTTCATAGAATTGGATTGTCCACATACAGATTTTATGTCACTCGGTACCGAAGGTCAGCATAGTGTGTGGAAGATAAACAAGCTTAGAAAGTAAGCTACAAATTACATCACTTACCCAAAAGCAATCTGTAAACTTAGTCATCTCAGAAGTGAAGTTAAGTACTGTTAATAAAGGAAAGAATTCCGGGAAATACTACAACAACTTCATGTACTGCAAACCGAAAGGAACCAAAATGCAAAATGTCAGAGGAAAGGAACAGTATGACTCGAAGTCCCGGATAAGGAAACGTGACCGGCAGGAGATGAACTTGCAAGTTACTTCCGGTGCTGAATCTTATTTGAGAAAAGGAAACCTAAAGCAAAGTTATTCATTTGTGCAATGCTGAAATGCTTCATTTTAAATTATAAAGCATGGAAATTACGCTACTTCTCCGAGTGAGGGCTGAGATTGAAAGAGTAGCATTCGTCACGCAACAATGTAGAACAAGTTGCGTGACTAGTTTGGACAGGAAAAAGTACAGGATCATGGGCTCCTGAAAAAGATAATTTTCCTTCTTCATGTTCCCTCCTCTCATGTTCTCTCATGTTCCCTCTTCTCAGCTTTAATCTCCACTACATCGCGGCATAAGCTGTTTATTGATCATTCATCGTTTTCATTCCTTTTAATTTTTAATTATCCATCATATGGATATGAAAGCTTCTTGCCACACTGTATGTCCCATATCCTAAAAGCCCTAAAGGGTACCCGACAGGTTAATCACCAAATCTTCCCTGAGGAGGAGTCTTCTGGCCCCTTCACGAACTTTCACGTACTACAAGGTCCCGGAGGGGGGGGAGTACTCCCTTATATGGGTCATATAGGTATGTGCGGCCCTAAGGTGTATGGTTTTTCAGCCGTTTCGAGGTCATAAATAGGGTATCGATTTTGGCTAGTCTTGTCATAAATGGGGTATGGTTTTTGTACTCTAGTCTTGAATAAGGTATGTTCTTAGAAGAAGCTACTTTTTCATAATTATCAACAAAAGCCCTTCATAACTAATTATGTTTAGGGAAACTGTTCCAACCGCAACGGTCATAAATAGGGTATCAAATTTTTGGTCAGGTCATAAATTGGGTAAGGGTTTTGGGAAGTGGGCAGCACACCCCNAACGTAACTTTAACCCAAGTACATGTGTAGCTGTACTTAATCAAACATTATCAAAAAAATTCCTCAAAAGTTGGGCGCAGAGGGTTGTTCTTTGGGCAAGCTGAAAGTCATTCTCAATAGTTCACCCCCCCCCCCCCTCCCTTCCCTCCAGTTACAAGGCTAACTAGTTCCCTGGATTTTAATGCTAAATTTCTTTACCTTTCTAAAAGGTAAGCGTCGACTATCGTTTGCTAAAGTTGTAGAATCTATAAACTGGTAAATAAACATTGGACAGATGAGCATTCCGTCTTTGCTAAATGAACGATCATGTTTTGTATCTTTTCGATTTAATACCTGTCAGTATATCTATTACTCGCTTCAGCACATCAAGATCGGATTTCATTCTCAGCACAGCCGGACCAAAATAACTAGACGGGAGATTCATCATTTAGCAACATACGCTGCGTACGTCAAGATGCAAGTCACTATTGTGGTGATTCTTTTGTCTTTCTGTGCAAGTTTGGCACTACCAGGTAAAGAAATAAGCCTCACAGAACTGCCAGCCAAGACATGCCATTGCCGATGCGCGATGCTGCGCTCTGTTGGCAGACTCTTGGCTAAAGAAAACATTGTTTTGGTGTTCTGAGCAGACATTTTGCACGTAATAACTCTGTTCCATCGTTTTATTTTAGTGCCATTGGATAAGAGTGACCAAGGGAGAGAGGGAAGAGAGGTAAGCCAAGTTTAAATGGTTATATTCACCGCTGTTATAGCTAGCTATAGCTTATGACTATTAAACTCGACTCGCGCAACTTGAAATCTCGTCTCACTCAACCGGAAATTAACTTAACGTTCAAGTCAGTAAAATGTAAAGTTTTATATCACTGAAATCGTTTAAGGGTGTTGTAAAGTAAAATTTGACTCAGTGAGCTATGTTTGCCCCTATAGTAAAATGTGCTATGAAGTCCCCAAACTGTATTCCTGAGGAAACTGTACGTGCCACAGTGCGCAGTGACAATCTGCAGTTGTCCACCAGTGGATTGATTTGTACCCATTGGACAATCTATTGCCGTTCTCTGGTCAAAATGTTAGCGCGAGAATGAAAGCTACAATAGTCACTTTGTGAATTTCATAGTTAATCGAATTTCGGAGGAAATTAAAGTTACAAATGGGGAATTGCCTTGTTCGAATTCTGAAGCATTCTTTTTAATAGCATTTGTTTTAATCTGTGATGTGCTTGGACTTGCTCTTAAAAGCTTAAATTAAGCAAATATTTTTACTGCCAAAGGGTAATACGAATTCAGCACGAACGTGGCTAATGGTTATTTCGGCAGAATGTTTTTCATGTGCCTCTCTTCCTACAGTCGTAACTGTCTTGATATGCTATTCTGGCATAACTGATTTGAATTTAATGGTTCCTGTAGTGCTGAAACGAGGCCATTTCCTTGTTCTCCGATATGTCTGATCTGTCTACCATCGCTAATGCGGGGTCAATCATGTGACGTCACGATGAGCACGTGTCTCGTTCTCGTTCGCCATTCGCAGGGGAGCTAAACACTGAAAAGACAACTTCTTTATTAAGGCGGGCACAACGGATGTTCTTGTATTGCTGAAATGAGGCCAGTATTTCGCTTATTGAACTGTCTGCCAGTAGGTCAATCATTTGGCGTCGAGATGAATGATAAAGAGTCAGTAGGAGCTAGTAGGTAATGGATGGCAAAGTCATCTTGATCGAAATTCGGTGAAAAAAAACTTTAAAATAATTAGTGGGAAAGTGCCCGTTACGATGATTAGTGACTCTAAATGGCATTCAAAGAAACCTTACTCTAGCCTGAGGAGAGTCTTTGACCTGCATTTCGTGGAAGATCTGAGGAATGTGACCCGGCGGTAAACCTTTAAAAGCACAGCTGTTATGAGTAATAAATGATGTTTTCCCCCACATTGGGGAAGCTGCGAGCAAATTATGCGCGACATCTTCTCCAACCTCAGTTTAGTTCCTTATTGGTAGGTTAAGAAGGAAGTAACTCGCTCTCGTCTTTTTAATTTACAGATATCCGTCGAAGAACTTGAGTCAGAGGTAAACTGCTTCTTGTCTAGATTCATTAAGGAAATATTTGTGATGTTAATCAGCCCATGTCTTAACAATAAAAGGTCATGATCACCGACAACTGAATTTAATTCGTACGTGGCATTCAGTTTTGTTCTTATTTCGTCAAATACAGTTGGAGGACATTGAAAATCACATTAGCTCAGTTCGGACAAAGGTAAAGGAAGAATCCAAGGAAAACAAAGAAACCCTCGAGACTACTAAAGGTCAGTAAATCCTGGCAGTATATCAAGGAAAATAACAAAGCAAAAACTTGCTTTATGGAATTTAAACAATGAAGGTCTCCATCTCCAACAACTCCACCGAAATTCATTATTGCTCTTCATTAAAGAAAAAAAAAAGCTTCAAAGCTACCACACTGTTCAAACGAGCTCTCAGATTTTGCTCTTGTCAATCAGAGCATACGATGGCAAAAGAAAGAGAGAAAACAACACTCTAATCAGCTACTAATCCGTGCATGAGGCTTAGTGAGACTTTGTACTGGCGATAATACTACAGCACAATTAAACGTCATGCATGTCAGTTTTTTCAAGGTAAAATCTGTCTACAAGCATTTGTAGACTTAATATGGCGCTCCTCCCCAAAATAGAATGATGCATTGCAAACGACTCCCTTACTCCTCCCTCAGTTCCTTTTTACCAAGTTGCCATGTCTTGTATTTAATTGCAGGCGTAGTTTGAGCGAGCTAGCGTCTCGCTCTTGGATTGGTCAACAGGGGAGGCTTTGAATGCGGGGATTTTACGACTCTAAGATGTCCTCCAAATGTTCAAAAGAAATTTGCTTCCGTTTGCCCACAAAAACACCTGCTCTATTGCTTAAGGTTGCTTGAAAAGTTCACTGGTGCTATTTACATTATTTGTTGTTTAGTGAGGGGTGGCTCTGTAGGAGTGAAGGTTACCTTACACAATAAAGCAATGACCTCTACAAGAGTTCGAAGCCGCACCGCTCAATCCAGGGTCTATAGGAACTGCTAATAGGCCATTTCCGAATTACCTTTGGCCTCTTTCTGAAAGCGAGTCTTGGTACTCATCCTTTCATACGAAAATGAGATTTCATTTACATGCAAATTATATAAGCTCATTTTCATATGAATAGTTGTGCACAAGGCCTNCCATGTCTTGTATTTAATTGCAGGCGTAGTTTGAGCGAGCTAGCGTCTCGCTCTTGGATTGGTCAACAGGGGAGGCTTTAATTTGAATGCGAGGATTTTACGACTCTAAGATGTCCTCCAAATGTTTAAAAGAAATTTGCTTCCGTTTGCCCACAAAAACACCTGCTCTATTGGCTAAGGTTGCTTGAAAAGTTCACTGGTGCTATTTACACTATTTGTTCATTAGTGAGGGGTGACTCTGTAGGAGTGAAGGTTACCTTAGACAATAAAGCAATGACCTCTACGAGGGTTCGAAGCCGCACCGCTCAATCCAGAGTCTATAGGAACTGCTAATAGGCCATTTCCGAATTACATTTAGCCTCTTTCTGAAAGCGAGTCTTGGTACTCATCCGTTTTATATGAAAATGAGATTTCATTTACATGCAAATTATATAAGCTCATTTTCATATGAATAGCTGTGCACAAAGCCTCGCTTTGATGGAGAGGCTTAAGGCAACTCGGAAATGGGCTATTATATTAGGCTATGGCGTCCTCACCTATTCTAGCCCAGGATTGTATACATGTCGTAGGCAAACCACAACAACTTGGAGGGGAGAGAGAAAATCCAAAAAAGAAATCAGCAAACAAGGACTTGTGATCGCCTGGCGATCAGTGAGGTCTTCAGCTCTTCTATGCTCTTCCCTTCTTCTTCTTCCATTTTTTTTCTTTCTGTTTAAACGCCGATTTTGGTAAATTGTAAAAAGAGAAGACTTTGTACATGTACATGTACATGTCTTCGTAGGGAGAATGAGAAATGACGTGAAAACTCCAATACTTCCAAACCTTGGCTCAGTTTTTTTTGTACCCCTTAAGCAACAAGAACAAAATGATTTTTTTTTATTTTTCCCCAGAAACTAGTATTAACTCGCTCACAGAGATCTTTTCTCAGTTAAATGTTAAGAAACACGACTTTGTTTTACTTATTCCACCTAGGAACCCCTCCTAAGTCCTCCCCTAAGACGTCTGTTGAAAGAAAAACTGATACAGAAGCCCAAACGACTGCTGCGACTGTCAAGACAACTGAAGAAGTTCACATCATTGTGGAAAAGGAAACCTCCCCAACACATACACCAGAATCCACGGAACCAACACTAACACCAAAGAAACAGGCAACCAATACGAAAATTAGTACCACACCATCTTCCACTGAGAAGACATCCTTTGTTGTCAAAGTGGAAAGTGGAAAAACGACAGCAAAGAGTGGATTCACAGTTGAGAAAATTACGCCAAGTCCTAAGTCTCCAACCAAGTCAACGCAGAGTGAAGCTGTAGTAAAAGTAGAACGTGTCCCATCCGAGCTAAACGTCGAGACAAAAAGAAGCTCAGTTCAACGGATTGAAGAAGATGAAGACTTGAAAGAAGGAAAAATAGAAGTAACGGTGGAAAAAGAATCAACAGAGACATCCTCTGCAAAAGAATCCTCCTTTGACAAAGATGGTCAGAAAGAAATTATCGTGGAGGTAAAAAAAGTTTCTCCCGCAACCGATGAAACGGATGAAGAGGTCGAAGAAGTAGAAGTGATAGCGAAACCAACTGTTAAACCAACTACAACGAAAGAAGTGCCAATAAGCCAAGGTAAGGTTGAGGAAGTTTCCATCAGCGTAGAGAAAATAACACCTTCACAGCGTCCAACAAGTGGAAAAACCCAGACGTCCATGGTGGAGAAGGTAGTGAAAGTGACTTCTGAAGACGAAGATCTGGATTTAGAAACTAGCCTGGATGCAGTAAATTACAAACGATCAGATGATGCCTCTGAGAAGACTAGTGACAGTGAAGAGGAAGCGCTGGAGTTGGAATTGGAAGGAGGTCAAGACAATATCGATGAAAAAAAGCTTGCGCAGGAACTCGATAAAGCTCTTGAAGCAGAAAGGAATGGCAAAGAAAATTTAAAGACAGACCAACCTGTGGAGCCAGCAGAGGGTCCCAAAACATCTAAACCACCT